GCAGATCAGGACGGCTCAGAGCTTTGGAGAAGTGCGTGGTGGAAAACTTGCGTCCATCGGTCTCTTTTTTCCCGGCAAGCGTATCGGGAATGTTTTTAGAAAAAACAAAGTTATGCAGCAATTAACTTCTGAGGGCTTCTTTGGTTACACATAGTAGCATACACAAATATCAGCAACTTGGGTTCGGTTTTCCTTGTATTTACACAATATCAGGAAGTAATTTAGTCTAACATTAGCTTTATGTCTCTGAAATGAATACATACTTGTGTACCTTCAGAAGGCCTGACGCTTACCTGGTGAATCAGAAAGAGATTCCCCACCTTGTGGAGGTTTTCACGGCCAAACTCACATCTTTGCCTTTCCCCCCCTTTCCCGGGGTTGGGGGGAGGAGGGGGGTGCTTTGTGACCCAGTAATACAACTTTTGGCAAATAAAAATAAAAAAAATTGTGGTCCCTAGAAGTACAGTGGCATTTTTACTACCATTCTTCCTACCTCAAAATTATCTGCATGCATTTCCAGGCCCTTCCAAAGGCAAGTTAAACGATTGCCCTGCATTTGGATGCAACCTTCACACCTTCCAGGTGGACAACCAACATGGTTTAACCTGTAGAGAAGATTTTCTAGGCTGGGGACCACACTATCAGTTATATAAACCTCAGTAGCTTTGTCTTCTGATACCATAACCTCAAGAAGCTGTGATAAGCAGCAGAAACTTGTTTTGTGTAAACCTGGTAAATTCTTCTTTGATTAGAGGTACCAAAGGAATGACACTGATGCTTACATGGCAAAGACATGCTGTCTTTTGGAGAAGATAACCTGGTATAGGTTCTAACACTTAAAAATAACAAATTAGGTTCCTTGCATCTGCTCAACCTGCCACCTGGTGCAGGCACGCAATGCAAGAGCTCCCGGCAGTTTTTTCCTCCTCCCCCCCACCCTTTTTTTTTTTTTTCAATTGTATTTTGACTTCAAACAAACAAAAACAAAAAGCTATTGCAACGCTGAGAGCAGGGAAGAGGAGGCAACTGCTGCAGGAGGTATACCACAAAACAGGAAAAATTACAGAGCTGGAGTCAACAGGGAACTTGCTGTCTTTGCAACCATGGATCACTAATGGGCGGCTAACCAAAATCTGATTTACTTAAGTCTTGCTGCTTCCTCGTGGGAACCAAACAGTAGATTATTGACTTAAGGGTGTCCTCCCAGTTACACCATAAGTTACACCATAAACCTCGATAACAAACAGAGTTTTATTGTGTTTCCCACATGAACGTAATGCTGAAGCTTGTTTGAGGTTTTATTCTTTTCTCCAACTTCCTCAAACAGCTGCATTTAGTCCCAAACCACCCGTAGGGAGGCAAGAAAACAGGAGCCTACATGAAGTTCAGCACAGCAGGACCTCGCTGGTTGGGACAGCTGGCAGCAAGGTGTTATTCACATTCGGAAAATACCTAGAATTTAGTTTTACTGGGATTATACCTGACATTTTCCCAGTTTTAGAGCTTTGCAGGGTCAGAAAGCTCTCTTCAGAATTGCATGCACCAGAACCAGATGGAGAAAGACAGGCTGAGGAAGCGAAACTATCATCGAGGAGCATCCCGACAGTCTGCACCTGAGGTTTGGAGCAAGATGATACTTCTAGGCCTATCAGTCAAAGAAAGCCTTTGAAACAAAGTTATCTCTACAAAGGTTTAGACCCAGTATTTTTTGTGGAGAAGAGGGGTATTTAGGAGAAGTCAAAGGCTCAAATTCTCCCTCCTGATCTCTTCATCTATATTGTAGGCAGGTTTTTAAAAATTCAATTATTCTGCCATTTCCAGCACTGTTCCCTATGCACACGATGATGCGCTTCTTCAGGCAGAAGGTGCATCTTTCACAGCTCCCATGGCCCAACCTGACCCAAAGACGAGATTCTCATTTCCATCGCGAAGGGGCCTCAGCCATGAGCTGCAGCCCTCTCCTGCCCAGAAGCCTCCTGCCCTCGGGGAAACGATATGCGAGAGGAAGACCGCGACATGAAATGCACTGCTCCTCTTATTCCTATACACTGGAACGGCGCAGGAAAATTGATCTCATGCAGCGCCTGCAGCAGCTAAAACCTCCCAAAACTTATGCGGCAATCTGATACTGCACTAATTGATCAGGTTTTCCATCTCATTACAATATCTAAATGACAGAGATTTGCTTTTCTTGATTTCTCCCAATGTCCTGAGATACGTTCATTTATAAATTACTGTACTTGGTGTTCAGCTTTGCTTAGACCCACTCAGTAACTGGAGCTGCTGCTAATAATAGAAACGCTATCAGCACTGCAGCACTGATGTTACTGATTTGCCACAAGATGCTAACCTGGCACGTCCGCTCTTGCTTTTGCAAAGCGCCCAACAGCCCCATCTAAATATCTGGATTAGGCTCTCAGATTAATAGATAGATTCTAAAAATTCCCTTTTCCACAATAAATCACATTATCAGTTGTTTTCTCATGCACAAAAATTACGTCAATAACCTTCTCCCCAAATGAGCATTTTATGATTTTTAAAAACTGTTGCTTTTGATGAAAAAACAAAATCAATGTACAAAAAATGTTACACTATTAAAACATATCCTGAAATCAAGATGACTCTGGGCTCTATCAGAGCATATTGTTCTTCACCGGCATTTACGTTATTAGAGTTCTTATATATTGCCCTGGAAATCAGCTTTGAAGTGAAACCATGAATAAAGGAAGATTTATTGCTGCTATCCTTATTAGAGGGATTTTAAAGTCATTAGAGACCAACATGGCATAATAATCATATTATATTCAATCTTCTGTAGAACATCTCCTTTGATAGGCCTGCTAACTCAATTATTTAAGTAAATATTACAGCAGAATGCAAAGTTGCTACTAGAGTTTGGGACAAAACACAGATTTAAATATGAGGTGTGTTTTTTCTTTTGTACTCAGCAAACCATAACTTGTCCTTACAGAATTAATGGGTTTCATCTTTGGTTTCCTACTTTTAAACGCCAGGGATTCGAATTCACAGTGAACATCTGCTCTCTTGGCTACTGCTTGCATGAGGTATTCCGGTCGCTTCCCTGCAATAAGTCAAGGAATATTCAGCAGTTCAGGGCAACTGGAACCGGACAGGGGAAATCCATGAACTGCTGCAGTACTTTCAACATTGGCTGACCCTGTGGATCCTCCCATATCTCCGGGAAGTTGTTCTACCAAGATTTGTCATCCTCACTGAGGTCTTGGGTTCAAATCTAGCACGACTATGCCCTTTCCTGGTGCGGGGCTGAATATCACAGCCCCCAGTAGGGCGCCAATCTCCTCCTTGATGCACGGAAGGAGTAACACAACAGACATGTTACAAGGAGTTATGTTCAGGATGAACAACACAGAAGTTCAACAGAAAATAAAGTAGGAAAAATACTCTGAAATTCTGGATCTAAGTGATACCGGAAGAATGGATTCTGGGCACACACTAGTTGCCTTTCAACAAACCACTTCAGCCACAGAACCTAATGGTACCCAAAGTCTTTACTAGAGAAAGATCAGCTGTTGAACCAGGTTTAACAGCAGCAAATGGCACACCTAAGTTAACATACATGCCCGAAAACATGTGGCTGCAGGCAGTATTTTGGATATTGCTTCTGATGTTCAGAAAGGCTGCCAGCACTCCCAGAAAAGCTAAACAAGGCACCTTCACTGATAGCACTGCAGCTCTAAAGGCAGCATCTCTCTAAAATCCCTCAGTCATCATGATCCTCTGCCTCCAGAAGCTACTTCACATTTCTTGATATTAAAGTTAAGATCTTTGGCCAGAATCATGAAGTTATATATATATATATGTATATCACCTTGTTAAATGCCAGCTAATGTACTAATGTATAAGCTCAAATTCCTTGCATAAACTAACAGAGCTTTTTGTTCATGACAGCATTTACAGTCCGCTTTAAATAAAAATAACACACTGAATCACCGTTCCTAAAACAACATCTCTCCGGCTGGTAAAGGACCACGCATGGGAGAAAAAGCCAGTGCTCAGCCTGAGGTTTGTGGAACAACTCTATGCTCTTTAGAGCACTCCTAGTGCTCTTACTTTGGGATCCATGGCTGGGAACAACCATGCCCACAGACGGGTTGGAAAAGCAAAACAGCTCCTCTTAATCCAGAGCAATGATTTCTTTTTGTCCTGCTAGATGTGCCATTCCTTGTTCTGCACAAACAATCCCTATAAAAAAAACACCAGAGAAGAAATGCTTGGCACCCTAAGCAGCGATGCACCTATTTTAGGAATACTGAATCCAAGCAGGCTGCAAAACGGCACTAACTGACTTCATTGCAGTAATGAGTTTTTAGATAAATGCCTCAGCAGACCTAGAAATCTCAAAGATTTCCAGAATCTGGAAGAAGAATAACGAGACCGACTGCATGTTTTACACACTATCTTACTCTTGTGCACCTCTTAGTGCACAAACTCCTGCCTAGAGGCCACCCTTCCCATGCAAGAAAACCAATGTTTTTATGCCAGAGTATCCCACCATCATCAACTCTCCCACAAAAAATTACTTCTAGGTTCACTCTACCTGGCCTTCTGTTCACTACAGCATCCTAAAACAAACATTTTATTGTTTTATAGGACAATGGAATTAAGGAATATCTTTTCTTACCAAAAAGAATTTATTTTCTTTTTAAAAAGTTATTTTGGCTGCTACTGACAAATATAGATATAAATATGAGGAGCTTAGTATTATTGCTTGCTTTTGAACTATTTTAAGATATGAGGAGTTAAAGCCAGTGCAAGATAATTTTTCCACTCCACATTTCACTCCGACCTCTATTTCAGCTGTCCTGGTGCTATCTCTTAGCAGAGGGCCAACTGCACTATCGCAGTGATTTAATTTCTGGTTCATCCCCCTTTATCTTTTGTGAAAGGTTAAGACTCCCCCAAATACCTCGTAGGACATTCACGCCGTCCAAGACAGATTAAGATCCTGCATCACTTACCCCCAAACACATCTCCGTTCTGGTAGTTTTTGCCTTTCTGAGTTTCCTCTTCGTTTTGAACAGTAGAAACATGCTTGGCTGACGCGCAGCCCATCGCTTCATTCAGACAGCGCCAGCCGGACCCAACCGCAAACCATGTCTAGAGCCACACGCTCATCGTCCTTCAGATAATCCACCTTCCCGCTGGGCTGCCGAGACGCTTTCACCTACAGACAGCAAGAAAGAGGGAGAGAAATATATTTAACTGTGTGTGTTGACCAAAGGAAACCTCTAAACACAGCACATTGGCAAGGCATGGGATGAGCACACGCTGTTGCCATCATTTTACATTTTTAGGAATAATTCGGTAAGCATCAATCCAGTGTGATGCAGGTAGAGCCAGGACTGCCTTGGGACTGGAGCACAGCAGCTGAACTCCAAGTCTGTCCTTTCGTCTGGAGGAAGCAGCACACGCACATCCACTTGCCACCCATCCACCCGCACTCCTGGAGAAAGCATCTTTGGTAAAAAAAAAAAAAAAAAAAAAAAACACACCTAAGAAACCAGCAATATATATCCACCTCTCTTGCGCCATTTAATGGTTTTCCCATCAGGCTAAAAAGCTTAGTAAGAGTTTTAGTGATTAAGAGGTGCCAATGGCAAGTGTTCAGACAAAACAAAACAGAACAGAATCAATGAAAGATCTTATGCTGATAGATGGGAACGAGTATAATGAGCAGCATTTTTCTTTTCCTATTTGTTCATCACTCGGTTGGATCCAAAAGCCTTTCACCACTCCAGAAGGCAATTACCCACCTTCTGAGATGAACTAAAGCTCCCTAAATCACGCAATGTCACAGAACAGGTGAGGTTTTCCCTTCCAGCCATACCCCTACGTGCATTCTGATTAACATTCAGTACCTTTCCCCATAAAATTTTGCCTTTTTCCATCATATATATGGCCACTTAGGCCTAAATTTCTATTTTTTCCACCCCTTTCTCAGCTCCAGCTACTCTCCCATAAACTGGTGAATTTTGACAATCTCAATAGGTCTTAGTGCTGTTAGTGGCAAGGAGAGCACAGACCCTCCTCTTAAGCTGTCTTCCTCCTGCAGAAGCGCTACACTTCTGAGCCCCCCAAAAATTTCTGGTTCCCTCTCGGGTTATGCAAGCCGTCAGTGCATTAAGCAGGCCATTCAAATTACACTGCCAGGCACGGCAGCTAGCAGGATATGCTCATTTTATTTAAACTGTATTAGTTGATCTTATGGCTTTGCAGAACGCTGAGAATCACGGCTGACGTTTTACCTCCAAACATGTCCAAATAGCGTGGCAGCTTGAATTAAGATAAAAGGTCTCCCTCTGGCCATCGAGGGGTGAAAAGCAGCATCCACAGAGCTAGCAAGCATTAGCCACGCTTTGCTTCTACAGGGCTCGGGTTGAGGTACTCGGAGGCATGGGGAGTGGAGGAGAAATAGCAGAGTGGGAAGGGGAACAGTAAGCAGGCTGTAAAGGAGATGTGCGCATTGCTAATTTTCTTTAAGGATGCAAATTTGCTTAAGGATTATAGCTTTTAATAGACCAGCGAACAGTGCTGATGGGGAAAAGGATCACGTTTTTAGCCTTGGAATCCCCCTTTCCTATTTCAAATAAAAGCAGCAACCTCAAGGGAAGCTTCTCATCAATTAGAGAACCCAAGGGAAAAGGAAATGGCCATCATGACCTTGTCTCCACAAAAAGAGGTATAAGGGAAGACAACAAACTGCCACACCAGAAATGGCTTTGCTTTAACCACTGATTAGCAACCCTCAACAGCTAGGACACCAGGAAGGCGGTGGCTCTGTCCTTCATGACCAGGCTGCTGGAGAAGCAACCTGGAGCAGAAAAAAGATACAAAAGCATAAAACTCTTCCTTAAGAAAAAAAAAAAAAAAAAGGCATGAAAATTCACTGTAGGCTTAAAGGAAAGGTGGAGAAATACTCAAATGGAAAGCATTATCTTTTGCATTAAAAAATCCTCTGTTCACAACAAAACTACAAATAGTTAATATTTGCAGAGTTTAAGCAAGTATTCCCAGTGCCAACAAATAAGGCTACCAAAGCTTCTCCAGAAAGATCTCGGAGGTTAGTCCACCAACATTTAATGCCAGGAGCAGGAAACCCTTCTGGCCTTGGAGCACAACAGCCCACTGCGATGACACTTGGATATTTTCCTGAAATGCATCCCAAGGCAGCATCTTTCTCCCTGGGATGCTGCACAGCGTACGGGAGACGCGATGCAAGGTGCTTCAGATGCAAGCAGAGCAACGCGACCATTCCTGCCTCCTCCCCCACTTCTTCCACAAATATCATCTTCCCTTTTGTCTTCCCAAGCATTTGGGAGGAGGGGGGCATATGGATTTCAGAAGCCAAAAATAAAAGGAATAAGAAAACCTCAATCCATTTGCAGCTCCTGTTCACCACCCACCATCATTAATTATCGAGATTTGAGAGGCAATTTGCAAGCTCCAATCTGCAAAACGCTAGTGAGAAAAACCTCTTAGGCAGATCAAAAGCATCTACGCCACCCCCAAATAAAACATGGCAGTTGAGAGGAACATCTCATGCGTAGGTCAACAGAAAAAAAAACATATACCCCATGTTAGATGGAGTACTTGTTATCCCCAAGTTTCTTCAGAGAATGCTCAGAAAGGGGAGCTCAGTTATGAGAGCAGAGTTTGCCACTCTCAACCTTCAGTTGCCTTTTTTTTTTCTCCTCCCTTTGGAGCACATCCTGCCTTTTTTCTTCTACGAGCTCCTTCACACTTCATTAATTCACTCCTCATCTTCTCACCCCCTTTTTTTTCCTCCTAAAGTCAGGTACAAGGCTGCATCCTCAACAAAACCTTTTTGTTTCCACAGTTGTAAAATCAACTGCTCGCATCAAACAGAGGAGCTCCTGGGCCTCACCACAAATGAATGTGGATTGTTCTTCCACCATGGGTGCATCTTGGATTCATCTTCATTGCACCGAGATAACCAATATTTCATCTTGTTGGGGCTGCACATGCACCCAAAATTTCCTTCCGTATTGACAAAATAGGAAATCAGGTTAAATTTTACAAAACTGAAGAGATCAAACCAACAAAATTTGCAAAGCTACAGGAAAAAAAAAATCTAAGGAAAACTACATGGGCTTTTCCTGTAATGCAGCCTAGTCTAGGCAGAACTCAACTTACTGCTGATAGCTATACTTATTTCCTAAAAGAAACAGGCCTGTTTGGCTCTCATTTGCCTTTTTTCCACCAGGAGAAGGGAGGTTATAGAATTGCACTGCACAAGGGACCTCAGAAGTTTGCACCTGGGATCTCCCCACCTGTAATATCCCTCTTCCTCACTTATCCTTGGTTATCTGTGCCAGAAAAGCCAAGATTTCATTCTTATAGAGATAATCCAGTATTTTGGAACCAGAAAACTCGAAGACACAGTATCATTATTCATTTGAAAACAAAAAGGAGCGGCACAAGGCACACGGGAAGATCGGAGCGAGCAGTGACGGTCTGCTCCTTTGGATACTTAGGCAGAATGCGTTTATATATCCTGTTTATATTAATGGTCAGGAAATTAAGCACTTCTCTCCCTTCTAGGAAATGTTTGCCTCCATGATGGAAAATTCCTGTATTTATTGCCACGTTGCAATGTCCTCTTGGAAACACGATGTGGAGTCCAGCTAGGTGACTACAGCATTACAATCATCTTGCTAAAAGTGCCAAGAATCAGTGCACTGTTATAAGATCAGCACCACATTTTCCCCAGGCTGCACTCAAATGCCACCAAACTCAACAAGCCTGAGTTACCAGGAGGTTGGTGGAAATGCTATTTGAAACTTAATTTGCATATCTGCTCTCCTGTGAAACGATATTTTCGACACATTTTGAGGCACACACGGGAACATCATGATTTGAAAGCTGAAGAGAACAGTTAGTGAACGACAGAAGCTCCCCTACCTCCCTCTTCCTGCCCTGCTTGGAGCTGATGCTAATGGTGCCATCGAGTTATTTGCTCTATTTTAGGACAGGCTTGGCACCACTGCCCCTTCAAGGCTTATATTACCATGAGCATTTATGAGCAAAATGATCCTGTCATTTTCTTAGTTTGCAGTTAGGGTTTCTCCAATACAGGCTTTCTGATCTATTAAAGCACCAGATAATTTCCCAAGAGAATGGCTCTCAACAGCAACAGGATATATCGAGTGAGCATCTCCTCCCCATCTAGTCCCTAAGAGTTGGCGATTCCCTGGAATGACATTTCATGCAATGTACAGAAAAATAAAAAATGAGAAAGGGAAGGGGGATTGCAATGCAATCTTAGTTCACCCTGGGTGATGGTAAAATAATGTTAGCATGGGAAGTCCAGCAACCAAAACCTATGAGCAAGAAATGTGAGCCACAGAACCTGATGCTTTTGTTCTTCCCAAAGAAAGTTAATTAAGGTTTTGAAAATAAAAAAGAATAACATTCAAATACAGGAAGCCTCTCATTACAGCATGCAATTTAAGTATCTAGTTAAGAACTTCTCTTTCTTGAAGAATTAATAAACAAAAAAAGGAAGACAGACAAGACTGCAAGATTGTGGGCTGGCAATTTTTGTTTTCCTTGCACACACAGGAAACCTGCACAGATTATATGCCAAGTTTTCATGCAACATGCACCTCTGTTTCCTCACTCAGACGGGTATTGGCACTACTGTTTCACCCCACCACAGCATGCAACGCTGCTCTACCAGCATTTAAAAAGAAACAGACCACTTATCCTACATTCTTTCCCTTCACATAAAATAGGCTTTTCATTAAAAATAAAAGATTGCACAAAAATAAGCTAAGCACAACACTTTCAATCCTCCTGCTTCTGTGTGAGCTATTGGTAAAGCTGACACAAGGATATTAGGGAAATGCAAAGGAGAGATTCCTACAAGATAAAATACATGTTCAGGCACAGCATTCGCTATCAAACCCATTTAAGATTAGCCTGTGTTTCAGAGGCAGTGGGTGACTGCAGCCTCTCCCAGCACTTCTGCTCCATGCTACGGGCAGAGCTGGATGACTGGTAACAGTGATCTCAAGTCCATAGGTATCTCTGTAGGTATGCAGGTCTCAGTCCTTGCACCTCCTGCAATCCTGGCCTCAACGAGCACAGCCTCTGCTGGTGAGCCTGCCAGAGCTAAATGAGGTGCTGGGCAGTGCAA